GTGTTATCAATAATGATTTTATTTCGTTTTTAGATAATGCTTTTATAATCAATTTAAAAGTCTTTCAAATCGTTAATCATTTTCTAAAGGCGAAGAAGAAGAATCATCAATCTTCATACCATTTAATAAAGCTATTTTAATAAAACGCAATACAAATTGTTGTAAATTAGTATTTCAATAATTTTCACGTTGTTACCTTATTTTGCAGTTTCCTATCACTTTGTATTGAATTAACTAAATCCAATATTACAGTTCCTTTTATCAAGTACTTCACATTTTCTGTTTTTGTTTTATGCAGAAAAACAGATCAAGTTAATTTATTTAACTTGCCTAGCTACTTATTTTACACGCCTAGCCACAGTGAGTGTGCATAAATCAACAGAGGATTTGGGTTTGGGCAGGTTGTCTTGAAGTAAATGGTTTACCTTCTTCATGTTAAGCTCTAAATATAAATATACGGAAAAGGTGCATATGTGATTTTTTTTTTTTTTTTTTCTAGCATATAATCTATTGATCACTAAAAAATATTAGAGGGAGAAATAGAGATAAGGTTAATGTGGAATAGAGTTTGTCCTTTTAGGTGAAAAACTATTTTATAATCTATCTATCTTCTATATAATAATGCCGAACTTAAAAGTGTTAGTAGAAAGAGTCGCAACACTTTTTTTATAAGAAAACGTGTATACAAATATCTAACGTACGTAATTAAGTAATGATGAAACATACTGAAACATTTTTCAAGTTTTATAGTTTGACTTTGACTTAAAAATTGCATTGCGTCAACCTCTTCTTAATTTTTGATCTACAGCAATTCCGTTTAAAACAATTTTTATATATTTTTAAAATTTCCTTATTTGATGTGTCAGCATGGCCGAATGGTTAGCGAGCTAAGCTTCTGAACGTAATAGTCGTGGTTCAAATTTACCACCAGCGATTTTTTTCTTAGAATCTTTAAATTACAAAATATTTGTAAAGTTAAACAAGTTAAATGTTATACACTTAAACCGTTTTTTCTTTTTACATTTTATAAATTTTTTGGATTTCTAAAAACACCAATAAACGGGGCGAAAATTTGTTGCGTGCGTGTCATGATTTTGATACTGTTCTCACATAATTGGTCCTAATAAGCTACGGATAGTCTTAAAAAAAAAGTCCTAAAACCTAATAAGGAAAAAAATTTGATAAAACCGTCCCGCTACTCCACATGGTATTGCAGTGGAGGCAGAGGAAAAAAAGCAATTAAAAGGTTTTTCGCTATATTTAATTTTTTGCTATAAATATAGCCAGATTAAAAAAATTAAAAAAAATGTATGGAAAAAAGGCGCGGATTTGAAGCATTGCACAGCGACTCTGATGACTGCGCACTTAACTTGTGAGCTATCAAAGTTATGCATGTAGTTAGGTGCTTCAACATTTTTTTAAAAATGTAAAATGAAAACAAAATAAATACCATAAGTAAGAGCTAAATAATAACGTTTAAAAATTACCAAACCTTTTATTATATTATTATTAGTTTTTCAACTTTTAAACCACAAAATTTATAATTTATTTTTTTGCATGACTTTTGACGCTTTAAGTGACTAACGTTTTAAAGAATTGCATTACCGTTTCCGTCTAATACAAAGGTAACTATAAAAGACCGTTATTATTCAAAACTAAGCATATAATAACAATAAATATAGTAAATAGTAACTATTGAAAATGGCTAGGACGCGACCATAAACCATGGTCCATGGCTGCAGTAGCGTAGCGACAAAAAATTGGCCCCCCACCCCCCCAAAAATTTAATCCGGGCCCCTAAATTACTTCACCACCTTGCCTTTACCTTCCTTCTAGACAAATAAGTTATACATGAAAATAAAAAAACGGTAATCTAAAACACAAACTAATGATATACGCATGTTATTTATTGTACTGACACTTTTTTTTAAATTTTTTCTTTGTTGCCTTGAGCCCCTAATAACTCTGGGCCTCCCCGCGGCTGCGGGCCCTGCGGGCCCTTTGCTACGCTACTGCATGGCTGGTCTAAAAGTAGGAAGTAGTTTAGTTCAGAATTTTAAAAAAAAAAAATAAATAAACGGGGTTTAATAAGCTATATACGTATGCGGAAAAAGTGCGTATGTTAAAGTTTTTTTTTGCTCTCAAAGCAAATTTTTTTAATGAATTTTTTTCCACCGTTTACTAAAAAATATTGAAGTAAATAAGGAACAAGTAAAGAAATGATTAGCGTGGAATAGATAAATATAGAAGTAGAAGAAAAGACCTGTATTTACCGATACGGACAGCTAGATTAAGAAAATAAGGGAAAAAGTTTGTGTAGAATAGACTTACAAAGACCCGTATTTTTACGGGTCAATTCAGCTAGTAAATAATAATTCAAATATAATTTGTTTTTATTTCATTCTTAGTTAACTTCATTTTCCTGACATATCAGAGTGTTAGCCAGCCTGATGGCACCGCATGTAATGCAGAATTCCCAATTGGCTTTTAAAATTCTTAAAGGTTCAAAAAATCACAGTTTAAAAAAAAAATAATAATAATAACTTTAAAAAAGACTGAAGAATAAATATGTTGATGAAAAACATTATCATTACAATATCTAAGCTAACTCCCTTAAAATAATTCCATTCATAAAAATTGAACAATGCTTTATTATATCTAAAGTACAATCATTAGGTAAAAAAATGGGATTCATGGATTCATGAAAAAAAATGAGATTCATGGATTCATGAAAAAAATGGGATTCATGGATTCATGAAAAAAATGGGATTCATGGATTCATGAAAAAAATGAGATTCATGGATTCATGAAAAAAATGAGATTCAAGTCATTCTAATACTTGATCATAGTTTGTAGCAGCGAGAGATTGAAATAATTTTTAATGTAAAACATTTTTTAATATTAAAATTGCAATATAGTGCCAATAAAGTGTTGCAAATATAAAAATGCCAAAAAATGCCAATAGAGTGTTACTTTATAACTAGGGCGTATAATAAGGGAAAGTTGATTCCCCCTTCAAAATCCTGGTTTTGAAGAGAAAAAAAAAGAAATAAAAAAGAAAAAGAAATACTAAATTACAAAATAAATGTAAATAAAATTATAACAAAATGTTTATATATTTTTGTTTTTGTAACCAACTTTAAATTTTTTAAATCCTTTTATTAGTTTTATTTTTTGAAATATATCAAATACTTTAGTGTGAGTAACAACACCTACTTTTTTTAAAAAATATTCTATTTGAACCAATAGGAATTAAATGATGATTCACACATGAGCCAAGAGCTGATCTACAACGAAATAATCTTTTTTTCTAATTGCTTCAGTTTGATCGATTTCCCCTTTTGAACATAACTAAAAACAAATTCTATTTATATGGCTTTACAAAAGGAGTATATTTAATTAGCATTCAAAATCTTCCCATTAGTTACTTGTTTTAGACTTTCTTGACATACTACTATTGTAACGATCCCACCAATACTTTCAAAAAGAGATGAACATTTATTGTGTTGTGGTCAAGATTTTCTGAAAAGAAAAAGAAAAAATTAGTTTGAGAAATATTTTCTTTAAAAAATAAATTGTAAAAAGTAAACATTGACATTTGCTCCAGTGATAATTTTGAACCTCATCCTGGACAACAAACTTATTAAACAACAAAGTATTCGTTTTGGTTAAAACTTACTTTATAGTTTTTTAAATATCTATTTTGTGATTTTACAATATATGAATGTGAGGTAACATTAATGTTGTAGCATAACAAATTATTGAACTTATCTAGTGGGAATCACTGTATTCCACTAGGGCTTATTCACTGTATTCCACTAAGGCAAATAAAAACATGTGAACTAATTTGACATTTGACAAGCTTATTGAACCTTAAGCGTTAACCTACAGGGGCGGACGCAGGTTTTTAATTTACCCCGTCAAAAAAATGCGCCTTACGCCATGTTGTAAGTGACGCAACTACGCCCACAAAACAAATAGAAAAAATGGGGGGGGGGGGGGGGAGGGAGAAGGAATAAGTAAGGGCGGATCCGGACTATGTAGTAAAGAGGGGTGGGCAATTTTTCTTTTCGTTCGATCCAAACGATTAAAGGGGGCGATTTACAGGTTTAACGATTTTTAAGCAGGCAAGCCCCCCAAAAAAAGAATTTAGACTACACAATTTTATGCCACTTTTAAACAGCCTACCAAATTTACTTATGTTTTTACAAAATGTTCTTATAAAAAACATCTAAGGGAGGCCATCGCTCCCATAGCCTGCCCCCTATGTATCCCCTAAATTCTCCTGCCCTTGGGCTAGAGGATTTAAATGGATTTTCTTTTTGCTATTTCATTGAGAAGCTCATATCTTAGTTTTACTTTGAAATTTTGTTTACATATAAATATATAATAAATATATAAACCAACAAATGATTGTTTCGCCCAATATCAGGGCTCATCAGCATGTTTAGGAACATATTTATTCCGGACATGGACAATCAGAGTAAGAAAAATTAAGAACTGAAAAGAGAAAGACAAAAATACAAATGGATTTATATACATCGCGATATAAAAAGTTATATATATTCTTATATAACAAGATAAAAAAAAAAAGACATACCAAGTTAAGCTTTAACAACAAGAAAGAAGATCATTTTTGATGAAGTAAAAAGAAAGCTAATGGTTAAATGGCACAAAAACGTATGAATATTATTAGGTTGATTGAGAGAAAATTTAATGAAAATAATTTTTTTAATTTTTTATTTTGTCGCTAGAAAATGATATAAAAAGATTGTCAAAAAGAGATGGTTAATGTTTGCCTGCACTTTGATCACTAATCATATAGCTAATCCCAAAAAAAGTATGGGGTTACATTTAACCCGTCCTGTTAAGAACACCATTGAAGTCTTGGCCTTTCCAGGGGTTTACATGCCTATTTGTTAGCTGTTATATGAAGAGAGGTGATAATAGACAAAAATTTCAAAAGTTGTTGGCGTGTTATAGAATAAACAGTATAGACACTAATCATTGAAATCAAGTCGTCTATTTTTTATAGAAAATCTATTGATAACATTATCAATACAAGGAACAATTTTTTGATGGATATACATTAATGCCAAACCGTTAAGTCGATCTTCTGACATTGTTGTTCTCATATAGTCTTTTAACCGACGCATAACAGAAAAACTCCTCTCACACTCACATGAAGTAACAGGAAGTGTCCCAAGTATCCTTAAAGCTATCTTAATATTTTCAAATCCAGGAAATGATATCGATTTAAGAGTTAAAGATATATTGTCAGGAATAGTCCCAGAGAAACTTTCCCAGTATTTTTCCCAAAGAACTAGTTCCCCATTCAAGGCACTGATATTAGGGAAATCATCTATATAAAAATCACAGAATGTTTCAAACTGCTTCCTCCAACACAATTGGGTTTTGGGTCTTTTAAGAAAAGAAATAATATTAAATGGAATAATTGATAACCCTTTATATGCAGCTACAGTTTCTGATTTAAATCTTGTAGATATAGATGTAGATACATGATCTATAAGAGGGATAGTAACAGCTCTTTTGAAGTAATCTAAAACAGACTCTGATGGAACATTAGAACGATTTTTTTGAATAGAACAGGTTCTTGGTTTTAAAACAAAAACTTCAGCTTTACTTGAAAGCAAACATGCTGCTTCATAGCAGTTATTATGAAAACTATCTATATCGTTTCTGATGGAAATAAATGTATTTTTAAGAGCTGTAATAAGGTGCAAACCGTCTAAGATATCAATAGTTTTTGATTGCAGTAACCGAGTAACAGGTAAAGTAAAATCAAAGACACGTGTTGTCACAACTAAAGTAAAGACGAATTGAAAAGTGCCAATGGAATTTAAAAAAGTAGAAGATTTGTTTTGTGTGTCTTTGTTAACAGAACTCTCAGGGGAAGCCATGATACATAAAGCATGGAAAATAGATAAATAATGCTCAAGAAAAGTGTTTAAACCATCTATATGTTTAATCCATCTAGTTCTACAGATATCTTTTAATTTTTTTTTATGCGTTTGAGGTTCTCGCTCTAAAATGCTAGCTTCTAAAAACTTTTGTCTATTTTCTGAATAATTAAAAAAATAAGAAAGTTCGCGAACTTTATTAAAAACCTCTGAAACTAATTGGACATTACACGATTCACAAACTGATAAGTTCAGTCGTTGACTATGACAATGTGTATACAAAGCCTTTGAATTTATATTGAGAACCTGAGCAGAAAGACCATTTAAATACCCAGAGACAGAACTGGCTCCATCATATCCCTGACCCCTACAGTTTTTTATATCTAGATTTAAGTTGCTTACACAATTTAAAAGAACATTAAACAAATCTTTTCCTTTAACTCCTTCACTACAATGAATAAATTGAATAAAGTCTTCTCTGATATTGAAATCACTATCAACAAATCGTAAAACTAATGACATTTGCTCTTTAGTAGATGAGTCACAGGCTTCATCTGCAAATATTGAAAAAAAAAACATTTTTGCGAACTTCAGATAGTATAGATTCACTAATTTCTTCACCACAGCATTTAATAATTTCATTTTGTGAAGTCTTCGAAATGTAGGAGGCATTCTTTGAACAGTTATTAAGATGAGAGCCTAAAACATCATTTCGATTGCATACAGCAAAATTTAAAAGTTTATTAAAACAACCAGTTCCACATTTCGAATACTCTCCAGCCTCTGGAAGATATTGTGGATCATCTCTGTGGCCTCTCAAAGGTGTATTGGTTTGACCGCAAAAAATTATAGCATCAACAATAGGACAAAGTATTTGGCGATTTTTTATTATTTTTTCTTTTACATTAGTATCAATGATGACATTTATTGGTTGACTTATGCCTGAGGAATGACTCAAAAAAATATTAAAAACAGGCATAGTAAATGCATGTAGACCATTTTTAGTTGACTCATGATTTGAAAAAGATCTAATAGCATCAGACCATTTATTGAAAGGCTCCAAATACAAATGTGTTAACTTACATGATATTAGTTTGAATTTATTGCCAAATAATACACAAGATAAACAAAATGCCCCATCAGTACTTTTAGAATATCTCAGCCAAGAAAACTCTTTCAACCAAAGATATCTAAACTGACGGCCAGAATTTTTTGGGAAAATGTAATCTTCATTGGGAATAAACATATTTTTAGTTAATAAAAAAATTTCATGGTCAGATAAAAATTCAACTTTTTGTCTAAAGAAAGCAACATCATTTTGCTCAAAAGACTGGAGAGCATTTAGTACTTCTTTAGGTGGTAAAATAATGTTCGAAGGGCATTCAGTATTATTATTATAATAAAAGTTAGGTACTTTCCTGATGCTTGAAGATTTTGTAAAAAAAGATTTTGATAGAACACTGTCCTTAGATGTTTTTGAGTGAGAATAAATATCTTTATTTAATGTTAATGATTGAAAAGATGTTGTGGATTGAGAAAAAGACACTGCTAATTGAGAAGAAAAACTATTTGATTTTAGAATACAAGATGTATTTTGTAAGACTGCACTAGTAGGTTCTAAGTCTGGGTTTGTTTTATGAAAGAATGTAAGGATAGAGTAAGGCTTTTTATTTGGATTTTTAGCTTCTGTACTGGGTACAATTGTAGCAACTTGATCAATGGTGGTCTGTTTTGTATCTAAAAATTTATTAGGTGATAAGACTGGCAGCAATTTTTTCGAAATTATTGTTTTTGATTTACTGGAAAGTTTACGCTTTTTAGGAATAAAAATTAGTGGGACATAGTGATTATGCTGAAATGTAACTGACTGAAAATTCCCATCATAACAAAACAAAATGTAAAATGGGGAACAAAATTTAATGGGAGTATGTGGTAAGATCTCTTGGTTAAAAAATATTTTATACTTTTCAACACCAAAATCTGGGTAACAGGAAACAATATTACAAGAAAGAACCGATGATAAACCTAACAAACATAAAAAACCAGCCCATTTTTCTGTGCTCTCACAGTTTGCAATTGCTTCAGCTTTAATAATATTATTATTTAAACCAGAATCTAATGCAGAATGAGATACTGACATACACAACAAACTTTTGAGATTAATAAAATGAGAACTATAATCAGAAAATATTTTTGAAAATAAAGGATGCTTACAGTAATAATCAGCATGTATATAAATTTCAAGGGATGTTAAAACTCTTAACACATCCATCAGTGTATTGTCAGCGACAAAAAATAATGATGCAGAGCTCTACATACAATTTCCAGATGCTTCAGACCTTGAGAAAAAAAAAAATATTTACTTCATGTTTTTAAGAGCTAAACTTCTTTTATCAATAAATTTAAAATTGAGTAAAAAATCTTTGCTTTTTAAACAAATTCATAAATACATAGTCAAGAATTCAGACAAACCAACAAACGATTTTGACATGTAGGAATTTAATACATACATCATGAACATATTATATTCATACATGTCAAAATCATTTGACGGTGTTGACACTTATTAAATATTGATTAGTCAACGAGATTTTTTTATAGATTAGATTAATACGGTATTAACAATAAATATTTTTACAAAAAAGTATTAAATTTTGTAATAAAATACAATAAGATAATTATTTTTGAAAAAAAAAATAAATTGACTTACCTTTGAGCAATACAATGCATTTTATTGTCTTTTAAGTAAGAAGGGATACAAACTTCGGCACATATATTTCTTCTTATTGTGCCATCAATAAAACGACTTAAAAGACCTTCGTTACTAACCATTTTGTTATTGTTGTAAATAAATGTATTCAATAAAGTTTCATAAAAAGTATTTAAATCGACAAGATTATCGGTTTTAAATCTTTTAAGTGCATCATCAATCAAGTTGTAAGCCATGCTTATACATTAAAATTTTAAATACTTTGTTATTAGAGCGGAGTTCTTTGAGTTCCTTGAGCTGTTTATCGATCTTTGCAACCAATCAAATTACTGCTGCAAATGCTGCAAAGGATAGTTTACACTAAACATGTTTTTTTTCTAAACGAATCAAATTGCTACTTTTAATAGCGTAAACCAATGAACTTATCCAATTTTCTCATATCCTGCAAAGTTGAGTTTACATTAGCAAGTTTTATAAAATAATTTTCTCATATCCTGCAAAGTATAGTTTACATTAGCAAGTTTTATAAATAATTTTCTAATACCCTGCAAAGTATAGTTTACATTAGCAATTTTTATAAAACACTTTTTCAAATGTCTGCAAAGCATAGTTTTTACTGTAAATTTTTTCTAATTATATTTTCTAACAAAAATATATAGATCAACAATTAACTTTAGGCAGGCGTTAGACGTCATAATACTTATATTTATTTTCGTTTTTTACCCCGTCACTTGCAGCACTTGACGGGGTTTAAGTCCGCCCCTGACCTAAGTACGTTTGTTTTTAAATTCATACACTAAAATCTTTAATTCATGATCTTTGTTTATATTTACCTATATGGTTTGAAATAGTTTGTCTATTGTCAAAGATGATTATTCCATATTACATTATTTATATTATACAAAAATTATTTTTGCAACTTTGTCTCTAGTGTTTTTAAACTTTTATTTTGTTTTTGTTTTTCCCAAACATTTTGACATCTTTTGGAAGACTTTTTAATTTGACTTTCATCAGTCCCAAGAAGTTTTATAGAGGTATCAAAATTATTATGCTGAACAATTTTTGATTCCCCCTCATTCTGTGAACTAAAATCTTTATCAGTTTCTACTGCTGCTGAGTTTTCAACCTGATGTTATATCTCAGCCTAAAGAAATCTTTACACTGCCATAAAAACAAATTTAAATTAATTTTAAAGATAACTGAAAGTTAACAAATACCATAAATCTCAATATAATATTTTTCTTTGAATTACCAGTTTTAATCACCTAGTTTTTAATTACCGTAGCTGTTTTGTTGTAACTATAAAAAATGTTAGGTTACCTTTTATAGCATTTTTTTACTTCCTTGTGTGTTCCAAAAAAAAATGATACAATTTTAATTAAACAATATTTTTCTTTCACATGCCACATTTTTTCTTCTTGCTGTTCAAAAAGAAGATCTTTGAGTTGAATAAAAACTTCTTTTCTAGAAACCCCAATTTTGTAGCAATGAATTTTTCCAAAGTCACACTTCTCCAATAATCAATATATTTATTATTTATTTATTATTTATATTACCAACTAAACAATAAACTTCACTATTATTCATTAAAAAAATACAAACAAGTCAAGTTATAACCTTTATATATTCAACATATATAACAACTTGGTCAAACCTAGTTAACCTAGTTTAAGGTTTCAAACTATGTTATTTCTTTTATTGCTAATTTTTATGTTATATCATAGTTTAAGGAAAATCTCAATACTTTCAAAACACAAGCATTTCTAAAACTAATCTAAAAATTTAGGTATTTAACAATTTGAAATAAATTATAAAAATAATAAATAGCAAAAATAAATTCAAACTAAACTATTTACTAAGTTTGAAATAAAAACAAAAAATTTATATACTCATAAATAATATTTTTTAATGTTTCTAAATTGTATATCGGAAATGTTTTTAACTAATTATTGATCTTATGTATGAAAAAAAAACAACCTGTAGTTAAAGGGTAACCTGTAGTTAAGGAGTAAAGAGAAGTTGTGCATGAGCAACCCTGATTGGCTTATACTTGTAAAGAGGGGTGAAAGAGCAAGTCATCAGAGTGCTATCTTTAAACTCTTAAAGCCTTTAATGTCAGGTCAGGTCAATCAATCTGTTTCATGTCCTGCTGCCTTGTAGGATATACCTTTTTAGGCAAAGGCTAGGAGATGAAAACTCTGACATAAAACACCCCCTGCCTTGGGGCTCTTGGTTGAGTAAAGCCTAGAGATAATGTGTCTTGATAAAAATACTCATCTTGGGCAGATGT